AAATGATGGCTTGTGCCGCGCCGCGGTGGAGAGTGCCAAGCCGTCATTTCTTTGCCCAAAAGGCAGTGCCAGCCCTGCATTCACATGTAGAAGAGATGGTGGGCCAGTCTTTGAGCATGTCGGTCTCTGCCAAAGTGCACGGCAGCGCCGACGTGTGGAGCTGTAACTACGGTCAGGGACAGTACATGTCATTTACGGCCCACTGGGTGAACGTGGTGCCGGCACAGCCGCACCAGCAACTTGGACAGGTCACGACGCTTTTGCCTCCACGTTTGCACGTCCTTGGTCCAGCAAGCATGTCCGCCTCTACCACCTCTTTTTCCGCCGTGTCCTCAGCCGCCACCCCCGTGCCAAGTCCCATTACCCGACCGGCATATCACATGTGCAGGGCGCAACGGTGTCACGCTGTGCTGCACCTGGTATGCCTTGGCGAACGTAGTCACACAGGGGAGGAACTGCTGAGTGTAATGAACAGAGAAATCGACAGATGGCTGTCTCCGCGCAAACTAAAAATCGGAACCATGTTGACTGACAACGGAAAGAACATGGTGTCTGCTCTGCGTCAAGGAAGGTTGTGCCATGCGCCATGCATGGCTCACGTGTTCAATCTGGTTGTCAAGCGGTTCCTAAAATCCACCATCCCACTGCAAGACATCCTTAAAATGTCACGTAAACTGTGCATGCATTTCAGCCATTCCTACACCGCAAAGAACACCCTCATTGAGCTGCAGCGGCAGAACGGAATTCCACAGCATCGCCTGATCTGCGACGTTGCAACAAGGTGGAATTCAACCCTACACATGTTAGACCGCCTTTACGAGCAGCGAAAGGCCATCACCGATTTCCTGATGTTACAAGCGGATAAAGGTACTCCCCTGTGTAACTTAGATGTCAGCCATTGGCAGCTCATGCGTGACACCTGCCGCTTGCTCAGGCCCTTTGAGGAGGCCACGCTATTCGTGAGTCGGCAGGACTATGGGATGAACGACGTCATTCCTCTGTTGCACGTCCTGGAACAAATGCTGTTAACAATGGCTGGTCAGGGTGCGGTAGACGTGGCGCACAGATCTCAACGCCACATGACCCCTGTGGGGGCAGGACAGGAAGAAGAGGAGGAGGTAGAGGAGGACATTTGTGCTCAGGAATTATTGAGTGAAATGGGTGGTTTTTCCACTCAGCGGACAGGAGTGGAGGAGCAGGAGCATCTGGTAGAGGGAGGAGGAGGAGGAGACAGAGGACCCAGACGCACCGTGGCAGTATGCTGTGGAGATGGAGGCAGGGAGTCCCTCGCATTCCTTGGCACAAATGGCCATAGCATGCTCGGTTGCTTGCGTAGCGACAGCCGAATAATAACCATCAGACAGAGGGATGACTTTTGGCTGTCCACCTTGTTGGACCCTCGCTACCGGTCCAAAATGGTGGCCTTTTTCACACCTGCTGAGAGGGAGGCCAAAATTACGTACTATAAAAAACCACCTATGTAGTCAGTTGGTCTCTGCCTTTGTGCGCCAACGTCCATCCTCAGACACTGTGGGCCCTGTGCGCTCGCGTTCCGCTGGCATGGCAGCAGGGGAGGGGTGGGGTGGTAGGAGCAGTGGCAGCTCCACCAGCAGTGGCTGCCTCAGTCTGCAGTCGATGATGAGTAGCTTTCTTCACCAGCGCAGTGAGGAAACTACTAACCAGCCGCAGCAGCAGCAGCAGCATCAGGTGGACCTGGAGCAGGAGCTCAAACAACAGGCTTGGGCCTACTTGGACAGCACCCTGCCAACGGTAGACAATCCCCTTGACTACTGGGCAACGAAACTTGACCTTTGGCCCCAACTAGCTGAATTTGCCCTTGAAAGGCTGTCATGCCCGGCCAGTAGCGTGGCATCGGAGCGCGTGTTTAGTGCGGCAGGAGGTATTGTAACTCCGCGGAGGACACGACTGTCCACCCAAAGTGTGGAGAGACTCACGTTTGTGAAAATGAATCAGGCGTGGATTAGTCTGGATTTCAAACCACCAGTTCCTGACACAACTGACTAAATCCGCCATGAATCATGCCTCAAACATGTGCCACTTTCAGGTCTCCTCACACTGCTGGTGTGTGTTTATTTTTTGACATAGGGTGCTGGCAGATTACGGGCCTCCTATAGCTGCTGCCAGGCCCCTAATCTGCCATAGGCCCCTATATACCGCCTCCTCATGCTGCTCCATTGCTGCTGTCTCCATCGCCACACTCTGCTGCCATGTGCCACTTTCAGGTCTCTTCACACTGCTGGTGTGTTTAATTTTTTGACATAGGGTGCTGGCAGATTACGGGCCTTCCATTGCTGCTGCCAGACATGTAATCTGCCATGGGCCCCTACGTACCGCCTCCTCCTGCTGCCAGGTCCAGAGTCTCTCATGGGTCCCTAATTCGGCCCCTACCATTGCTGCTGTCTCCTTCGCCCGAACAGCTAAAGGCCATCACACTTTCAGGTGTTAACAGCGGATAAAGGTACTCCATGTGTAACTTAGATGTCAGCCATTGTCAGCTCATGTTGTGACACCCATGCGCTTGCTCAGGCCCCTTTGAGGAGGGCCACGCTATTTTCGTGAGTCCTATGGGATGAATGAGGTCAAATCGGCCATGGGCCCCCCCTGTTGGCAATATTTCGCCTGTTCACGCTGATGCTGGTCCCTTCAGTTGTGACCTGGGTCCCTGTACGGCCTCCCATTTCTTTCCAGTCAGCAAGTCTTTCTTGGAATCTTCCACTCGCCAACAGTCCATGCCACACTCTTTGAAAGTCTCCTCACACCTCCTGCGGTGTGTCCATTTTGTCATAGGTTGCTGGCAGATTACGGCCTTCCATAGCTGCCGCCAGGCCCCATATCTGACCATGGGCCCCCGTACCTCCTGGTCACGCTGCTGCTGCCAGGCCCACAGTGTGACATGGGTCCCTGTACGGCCTCCCATTGCTTCCACTCTGCCATGTGCCACTTTGAAATCTCCTCACACTCCTGCGGTGTCCATTTTGTCATAGGTTGCTGGCAGATTACAGGCCTTCCATAGGTGCCACCAAGCCCCAATCGGCCATGGGCCCCCGTACCGCCTGGTCACGCTGCTGCTGGGCCCACAGTGTGACCTGGGTCCCTGTACCGCCTCCCATTGCTCCCACTCTGCCATGTGCCACTTTCAGGTCTCCTCACGCTCCTGCTGGTTTCCATTTTTGTCATAGGTTGCTGTATGGCCTCCCATTGCTGCTGCCTCCACCGCCACACTGTGGCTCCAAAACACTGGTTTTGGCCCCGTGACTGGCCAAAGGAGTGAAGTGTGCAGTGATTCTAAGATCGACGGCACTCATCTGCATGTCATACTGACAGACAGTATTATTTCTCTTCCCCAGCAGACTCCAAGGGCATTTAAATTAAAGGTACAGTGTTCTGCACTAATATTAAGTCTCTCTGAAGCTAGAAAACACCCTTTTTAAGTTAAATTCACAGCGAATTTATTCGACTCGAATCGAATATTGTCCACGAATTCGCCGAATCAGTGATAAATACCTGAAAAAAAATATCTTAAATTGGTGCCAGTGTCCCAAAATATATATGGACCTAAACTGTATATACTGAAATTTTTATTGTTTTTTTTTTATACTAGTAATGGCGGCGATCAGTGACTTATAGCAAAGACTGCGGTGACCAATGACTCAGTACAACTGGAAACCATGCATGCCCATGCCCATCACACTGCCTCCACCTGGGACTGCAGCGGGGCATTTTGACACTGAGTGGGAACTGACTAAACTGCCACTGACATCACATACAATGATCAGTGCTAATAAAAAAGGCCCTGGCACTGTACTAATGACACTGGGCAGGAGGGGGTTAACATCTGGGGCGATCAAAGGGTTAACTGTGTGCTGTGTGTGTTTTACTATGTGTGCTGTTTTTACTATGGAGACATGCCTGCTTTGGTTATTTCTCTGCTGTTGTTTACACACAGGTCTCTCCCCTGTCAGATTTCCCCAACGATCACTGGGTGCCCGCGGGGAATCTCTGGCCGGGAAACTTGGTGATTGATATCCCCCAGCCGCCAATGGCTGCGCAAGCACCCCCTACCCAGAAATGCAATTCACGTACATATACGTAATTTTTGCGCAAACCCTGCTGCTCTGTAGAAGTACTTCTGATAGGGTTGTGGCAGGCAAGCGGTTTTAAAGAGACATATGGCCCAAAGCTTCTTTTAGGCGTACTTCTTTTTGTGGGTCACAGGAGTGCACTTCTGCACTCCCTGTGACCCAGAATCAGCTGACAGCGGGCTAAATCTGCTGTTGGCTGATGTCGCAGAGCTGCTCCTTATGCTCTTGAAAGGATCCTGATAATAATGTTGGGATCCACCCAGATGCCTTATTGGCAGCCGATTCTGACTGTCAGCGTGCTGCTGACTTGAGAGCCTGAGCCTGTCGCTTCGGTCCTCTCTCCCTGCCCAGTGCTCCAGTGAACGCTGGAGGGGCAGAGTAGAAGGTAGTGACTGAGAGTCACCACTGTGCTCAGTGTGGACAGTTCTTGGGCTTACATTTGGCGGGGGACAGCTACAGAATCACACCGATGCTTCAGCATGGAGGTAAGGTATATGCGTTTGTTTTGGCTTTTTTTTTAGAACCCCAAACTTCTTCTTTAAATGTAATCTGTTTTGGGAAATGGTTATATCAGTGGGTTTTTAGATCTTTTTAAAGTCTTCAGGTTAGGTGAAATGTTTAAGACAAAGTTGGGCTTTCTTTCCTGGCATTTTGTGGATATTTGTAGTGAGGAACAAAAATGTTGAACATTAACATTTGGCAGGAATGACCTTAGTTGTTGAATTGTGTTTGCCTGGAATTTAAAAACCATATAAGGCAATCTTTTTAATCTAAAATAGCCAGTTTTTTTTGATGAAAGGGGTAGTTCACCTTTAATGGTCAAAAAATCCCCCCACGTGTTCCAGTATCCCAGCACATTACATACCACTTTCTGTTGTTCAAATAGTTGTTCCTGACCACCCTTATACATGTAGGCCACACAAAAACTAGCTGAAAAAACTCTTAGTAGCTGTTTTGGGGCAGAA